ACTACACAGAAAGTATGCAAACAACAATGAGGATTATTTTTTATGTCTAGCGGATCTCTTAGCCTTCGACAGCTGGTCAGATGAGGCCGCAGCTACGGAGGAAGCAGATGGACACTTCTCGCCTCTGACAGCATCATTATATTCATTGTCTGAAGCACCAACAACAGCCGAAAGGTCTTCCTCAGTAGTAATGCGATGGCGTAACCCATTATGAGTCTTTATAATAATATTTCCGTCAACAGTCCAGCAGTTGCGGATGCCCAGACGCTTTCGAGCAAGCATGAACAGAGATTGTCGATGACGTGTGAGGAACTCTGACACTACAATTGATGTGCCCTTAAGTCCAGCCTTCTTTTTCCACACCGTTGACCTCACAGCTGAATCTGAGAAGCGGACCAAGACTGGTCTGCATTTGCCGTCAACTAATTTACCTAAACGATGGCACACACTCAGAGCATTGGAATTAAAGTCTTGAATTTTAAGTTTATCAGAGAACACATTGCCAATATAGCTTGACAAGTCGCCTGTGGTATCTTCTGGAATCCCATGAAACAAAAGATACTTCCTTCTGTGTCTCATTTCAATTATGTCCATGGACTTTGAGCACTCTGAAATTTATTGACGAAGGAGACCCATTATACTCCAGACTTGGGCCTTAAATTCCTGGAACTCTTCTTGAAGACGTGTCAATGTTGTTTGTGATGCAGCTGGTTTTAACTGAGATTCAAATTCAGATAGTTTTTTCATTATATTTGACTCAATAGTCAGCTGTTTTTCAACTATGAGATCATATGAAGCCATTTTGAAGTGCAGTGAAAATGTGTTTAGAGGTTAGCCGGTGGATAGGTAGGACAAAAAATTATTTGAACATAAAACTCTACACCTTTTATGTCACTGAATGTCATCATCATTAGAGCCCTTCACAAGTCCACTGCTGAACATAGGCCTCCCCCAAATAATGCCACAAAGCACGGTCCTGAGCCACCTGCATCCATCGACTTCCTGCATATCTTACCAGGTCGTCACTCCATCTAGTGGGGGGACGCCCTACACTTCGCCTGCCGGTACGAGGCTGCCACTCGAGAACCTTTCTTCCCCATCGGTTGTCGGTTCTTCGAGCTATATGGCCGGCCCATTGCCACTTCAGCTTACTAATCCGTTGGGCTATGTCGGTCACTCTAGTTCTACTGCGGATATCCTCATTTCTGAGTTTATCACGCAGAGAAACTCCGAGCATAGCCCTCTCCATAGCTCGCTGAGCGACCTTGAGCTTCCTCATCCGGCCAGCAGTGAAGGACCACGTCTCAGTTCCGTATGTCATCACTGGCAACACGCACTGGGTGTACAGTCTCGTTTTCAAGTTTTGAGGTATACCTGACGAGAAGATGTGCCGTAATTTCCCGAACGCTGCCCAACCGAGTTGAATCCGTCGATTGACCTCTCGGTCGAAGTTGGACTTACCTAGTCGGACTATTTGTCCCAGGTAAACATACTCGTCAACAACTTCGAGCTTAGTGCTCCCAACAACTACCGGCATAGGTGTGACATGGACATTAAACATGATCTTTGTTTTGTCCATGTTCATCTTAAGACCTATCCGTTGGGAAACACTATTGAGGTCATTGAGCATAATGCTTAGGTCCTCCAGCGATTCTGCCATAAGGACTATATCGTCGGCAAATCGAAGGTGAGTGATGTACTCGCCATTGATGTTGATACCGTATCCTTTCCAGTCCAGAAGCTTGAAAACATCTTCCAATGCAGCGGTAAAGAGTTTCGGGGATATGACGTCACCCTGTCTTACACCTCTCTGCAATTGGATAGGTTTCGTACTCTGGTTCTGTACTCGGATAGCCATCGTAGCCCTACTGTACAAGCACTTCAACACTTCGATATACCGACAGTCAACTTGGCATCGCTGAAGGGACTGCAGCACCGCCCAAATTTCGACGGAATCAAAGGCTTTCTCATAGTCCACATACGCCAGACATAGTGGCAAATTGTACTCCTCGGACTTCTGTACAATTTGCCGAAGGGTATGTATGTGGTCTATGGTGCTAAAGCCTTTTCGGAAACCGGCTTGTTCGGGAGGCTGGAAGTCGTCAAGTCTGCGCGCGAGACGATTCGTAATGACTCTCGAAAACAGCACGTAGACGCGGCTCAGAAGGGAAATCGGTCTGTAGTTCTTCAAGAGAGCGTTGTCGCCTTTCTTGAAGAACAAGACCACCGCACTTCTGCTCCACGCCTCCGGTGTAATGCCACCATGGAGGACGGAATTAAAGAGCTTCTGAAGGACTTCAAGTACCGGTTTTCCACCCGCTTTCAGAAGCTCCGCTGTAATTCCATCCTCGCCTGGGGCCTTGCCGTTTTTAAGGTGCTGGAGAGCCATTCTAATATCGCTCAGACTGACGTCCGGGATATCATCGGAATAATGTCGGATAAGACTCGCTCTTGGATCGTTACTCACACTTGCGTGCGGCTCCAACGATGACGTGTACAGCTGCCCATAGAACCTCTCAATCTCACTCAAAATCTCAGGTGCCCCGGAAACGATGCTGCCACATTCTGTCTTCAGCTTTGACAGTTGGCGCTTTCTGGCAGACAGATCTCTGGCAAAGACTTTGGAGCCTCGGTTCGGCTCGATCGCTTCTTCAATACGAGCTGTATTGAATTTGCGTAAGTCCCGCCGCATGCATTTGGAGATCTGTCTGTTCAGTTGCCTGTATGCTGTCAAATCTGTTGAAGAATGTAGCTTCATCTCCCGTCTAACAGCCATGAGATTAAGAGTGTGATCGGAGAGTTTTTGTGTTCTTCTGCGGCGGGTCTTGCAGTCACTGAATGTATATGTAAGTAATCTACAACTGAATGTAAAAATAAAGAGTAATTACTCCATAAAAGCAAATTTTAATTTATAATAAATAAGGAGCACACTGTCTACTTTTTTAACACCTACCGCCGAAAAACCCACCCTACATACCCTTCGGCAAATTGTACAGAAGTCCGAAGAGTACAATTTGCCACTATGTCTGGCGTATGTGGACTATGAGAAAGCCTTTGATTCCGTCGAAATTTGGGCGGTGCTGCAGTCCCTTCAGCGGTGCCAAGTTGACTGTCGGTATATCGAAGTGTTGAAGTGCTTGTACAGTAGGGCTACGATGGCTATCCGAGTACAGAACCAGAGTACGAAACCTATCCAATTGCAGAGAGGTGTAAGACAGGGTGACGTCATATCCCCGAAACTCTTCACCGCTGGAAGACGTTTTCAAGCTTCTGGACTGGAAACGATACGGTATCAACTTCAATGGCGAGTACGTCACTCACCTTCGATTTGCCGACGATATAGTCCTTATGGCAGAATCGCTGGAGGACCTAAGCACTACGCTCAATGACCTCAATAGTGTTTCCCAACGGATAGGTCTTAAGATGAACATGGACAAAACTAAGATCATGTTTAATGTCCATGTCACACCTATACCGGTAGTTGTTGGGAACACTAAGCTCGAAGTTGTTGACGAGTATGTTTACCTGGGACAAATAGTCCGACTAGGTAAGTCCAACTTCGACCGAGAGGTCAAACGACGGATTCAACTCGGCTGGGCAGCGTATGGGAAACTACGACACATCTTCTCGTCAGACATACCTCAAAACCTTAAAACGAAATTGTACAACCAGTGCGTGTTGCCAGTGATGACTTACGGATCTGAGACGTGGTCCTTCACTGATGGCCGTATGAGGTAGCTCAAAGTCGCTCAGCGAGCTATGGAGAGGGCTATGCTCGGAGTTTCTCTGCGTGATAAACTTAGGAATGAGGATATCCGCAGTAGAACCAGAGTAACCGACATAGCCCAACGGAATAGTAAGCTGAAGTGGCAATGGGCCGGCCATATAGCTCGAAGAACCGACAACCGATGGAGAAGAAAGGTTCTCGAGTGGCAGCCTCGTACCGGTAGGCGAAGTGTAGGGCGTCCCCTCACGAGATGGAGTGACGACCTGGTAAGACATGCAGGAAGTCGATGGATGCAGGTGGCTCAGGACCGTGCTTTGTGGCATTCTTTGGGGGAGGCCTATGTTCAGCAGTGGTCTTGTGAAGGGCTGTAATGATGATGATGATGATGACATAAGAGAATCAGAAAACGGTTGTCGAGAGATACTGTGAATGACATCGAATCTCTCATTGAAAGATCTCGAGCTATTGAAGAGTCGCTGTCGGAGAACGCTCCGCTGCCGCCGCTTACGCCGCCACAACCGTCGGCGTCACCGCTGAGTGTACCCGTGAGACCCAGCCGCAAGCATGGCGAGGGACTTTAGCATAGTATTTAGGGTTCGAGTTCTACGTCGCCGCAACTGCGCGCCCCCGACTCCGCTTCGCAATCATCATGTGAACGTGTGCCTGTGCCGCGTAGTGATCAGTGTGTGAGCAAAAATAGTGATGGTGAGAGAAAGCTATTCTGTGTTTACTGCAAAACATGAGGACACGTCCGTGACTCCTGTAATAAGTTAAGTAAAAGATCTCATTCTTCTAACTCAGGTATTGTTTGTTATAATTGTGGCGAGAAAGGTCATATTAGAGTAAATTGCCCTAAATGTTTTCAAAGTAGGCCTTCTAATGATAACATTCCAGTTGAATATGTATTTTTGTCCATCTTGATTAATAATTGTATCTCGAATTCGAAATCCGATTGTAAGGAGCAAGGTCGGCCTATCGTACGAGTGAGTATAGGGGGATACTCAGGTACCGCGTTATTAGATACCGCCGCGCGACCTAGTGTTGCGGGTTGTTTTGTTCACTTTATGCGTTAATGAAACGTATCGGTTTAAACTTTCGTACCGAACTGATGTCGGTAAAGCTTGCAGACGGTACTATTAGGAATAGTGAGGTGCTACTCACGGAGGTCAATGTTCAACTTGCTTCATTAAGTATACCAATCGAGTTCATTATTTTACCGAATGCCGTTAATAACGATACTTTGTTAGGTATTGACTTTATAACATAGGCTAGAATGATTACTGATTTTGATAAATGGAATTGGCGTACAGATCAGCCCCGAACATTTCACCCCTTGTCATGGGAAACTCGTCGTGAACCTATTGAGTGCGCCGCCGCAGTGAACGTGTTGCGAGAGAATGAGGCCATCGAGCGATCGGAGTGGGAGAGGTCTAGACTGGCGTATCTATTAGGTGAGAATACTGACGTTTTTGATGTTGTCGGAGAACCGACACCATTCGCCAAACACCATATAGATACCGGTGACCACCCGCCGATTGCTGTGCCCCCGTATCGGGTCACGCCTGCGAAGAAGGAAATCATGCGCGCCGAGTTAGACAAGATGCTGGCTGATGGTGCGATTGAGGAGTGCGAATCCGCCTGGGCCGCGCCATGCGTCCTGGTACCGAAGTCTAATGGTACCTATAGGTTTTGTGTAGACTATCGCAAGCTAAATGGGGTTACAAAGACAGACGCATACCCCATGCCACGTATCGACGAGCTGTTACAGTCGGCCAAGAACGGCTGTGTGATGAGCTTGCTAGACCTCCGTAGTTGGGTACTGGCAGGTTATTACAGCGGATAGGGATAAAACGGCCTTCGTAACACCTTTTGGGACCTACCGCTTTACGCGTATGCCCTTCGGCCTGAAGAGGTCTCCGGCAACGTTCCAGCGACCCATAGATCGCTTCTGGTCAGGACCATCACTTGGTGGTAGGCATATTCTAGGTTATCTTGATGACCTATTAGTAATTTCAGAGGACTTTGAGTCTCATTTGTCTGATTTACGTGCGGTATTTGAGCATCTTCGGATGTTCAAGTTAAGAGCCAACCGCGAAAAGTGCGTGTTCGCCAGGGACCGGCTCAAATACCTAGGTCACATGATATCCAACGACGGTATATCTTCAGACGAAGATAAGGTGCGTGCTGTCCAAGATATGAAAGAACCGACTAATCTCCAGCAACTTCGTACCTTCCTGCAAACTTGCTCTTGGTTTAGAAAGTTCATACCAGAGTTTGCGAAGCTAGCTGAGCCACTAACGCGCCTTACCAAAAAGTCACAGTTCTGGCAATGGGGAGATGATCAGGCCAAAGCCTTCGTACATCTTAAGTCCCTTCTGGCTTCACCACCCATTCTTGTTCAGCCGGACTACTCGAAGCCATTCATCCTTAGGACGGATGCCAGCAATTTTGACCTAGATGCAGCTTTACTCCAGGGGGTGTCTCCACAGGATGAACACCCAATCGAGTACGCGAGCCGTCTCCTCACATCAGCCGAGAAAAATTATACCATTACGGAGCGGGAGGCGCTAGCAGTTGTTTCGGCCGTGGAAAGATTCCGTGGGTATATTGATGGTCACCAGGTTGTGGTCAGAAGTGATCATCAACCCCTGAAGTGACTGTTTTCTGTCAAATCGCTTAGTGGTAGGCTTGTTCGTTGGGCTTTAAAGCTACAATCCTTTGGTTTTCAAATGGAATACACTCCTGGGAAGGCTAATGTGCTAGCCGACACACTTAGTCGTCCAGTCATCGATAGCACTCTGACGGAATGTGGTGTCTGCCCCGTGTCTGTGGATGTTCCACGTTGGAACGCTACTTCGACCTGTGAAGCCCAACTGGCTGATCCAGAAGTAGCCAAAATACTTAAGGACTTGTAGAGTTCTGATGAGCTGTCAGTTCATCGGTGGTCGGAGAGGGGGTACCTGGTAAACCAAGGTGTTTGGTACCGGTAAGTGTACGACACCGATACTGAAGAGCCTCAGCTGGTAGTATCTAAGAGTTTGCGGGGCAAAGTTATGTTTGAGTGTCATGACTCGCCAACCGCCGGTCATGGAGGTATTCAACGGACTTTGCATCGTATATCCCAGCAGTTCTATTTCCCTGGTATGAGACGCTATATCACCGATTACCTGAAGACCTGCACTGAGTGTCAGCGTTATAAGTCTTCCAACTTGAAACCGCCTGGCTTACTCCAGACTCCGGTACCGGCTCAACGATTCGAGGTCATTGCCGTCGATCTCTTTGGACCGTTACCCAAAGGACCTCAGGGTGAAAGGTGGATTTTGATAGTGGAGGACACTGCTAGTAAGTGGGCCGAACTGTTTGCTCTAACCGAGGCCACAGCCGAAACCTGTGCGAAAACTCTTGTTAGTGAAATCTTTATGAGGTATGGACTACATAGACGGATGATCTCCGATAACGGTGTCCAGTTTGTGGCTGATGTTATGCAGAAGGCCCTGTTTGTACAAGGTGTAAAACAAAAGCTGGTGCCTTTGTATTACCCAGAAGTGAATCCGGTAGAGCGGTAGAACCGGGACCTTCAAGCTCACCTAGCCATTCTCGTTGAGGGTAATCATAAGCAATGGTCTGAGGTATTGCCTTTCGTCTGATTTGCTCTTAATAGCTCAGTCACCGTTTCTACAGTCACCACTCCGGCTTTCCTGACATTTGGACGTGAGCTCCGTTCTCCTTTGTCGGTTCAGGCTGATCTACTCAGAAAACTTAGTCTCTCAGAATACGCCTTACCTCTTGAAGCTTGCTGACTCTCTCTCGGAAGCTAAGGAGAACATTGAACATCAACGGGATCTTCGTAAGCTCCAAGCCGATTCCAATCGCCGTGGTTCGGATCCATCACAAGAAGGTGATCTCGTACTCATGAGGTCACATGTCCTGAGTAATGCTGCTAAGGGTTTTACTTCTAAATTCATCCCGAATCAGGATGGTCCGCATGTGATCCCCAAACAGGTGAGTCCAACTACCTACCTTCTAACTTCGCAGAAGACTGGTGAAGTCGTTGGTAAGTATCATGTGTCAGATCTGCGTAAATACCATGACAGGGGTGGTGAAGAATGTCCGGAGCCGGTTGTTCCTAAGCGTCGTAGGGGTCGTCCGCGTAAGGATCGCAGCTAGGCGCTAACTATTAGTTTGACCATTCGTGATGTTCCCTCTTGGTCAAAATGGAGAGTATGTAGCGCCGATACTTACCTATGTCACCCGATGTCTCACTATCCCCTCTCGTACGATGCCCCGCCTACGCCACGGGATCAAGCCAATCGTCTGAACCTTTGACCGCCGCTATAAGTAGTATGCTAGCCGACCAGCTCCGAGCTATACATATGTGTATTATTGATTGTACCTGCGCTCGCGCTGCGTTTCGCGAGACGCTGTTATGTACTTACGTGTCAATAGATGCCTATACTGTTACTATTTAAGTGAATAAACTGTGCATTCGGATTATTTGTAACGTTTAATTTATCATGCGTGACCAGTGAACGTTATAATGTTTATTTGTTTGTGAATCAACGAATCCAACTCGGCTGGACAGCATTAGGGAGACTACGACACACCTTCTCGTCACTTATACCTCAAAACTTGCATTACATCCAGTGCCTGTTGGCCTGTTGGATTGGACTATGGCTATGCTCGGACTATCGCTTAAAAACAATTTTGTGTGTGTAATAACGAGGGACATTCAATGTATTCACAGTATGGGTATGTTAGAATAAAGATAAAATTTTGAAATATTTTTATTTTTTATTACTGTCTCCCATGTCGTCAATACATTTACGTGTTCGTGAAAAAAGCTTACTATTCCCTTGATATATTGATTCTTCGTCTTGGCCTGAAAAATGCTTATTCACAGCGGACTTGAGCTCAAGATCTGTTTTTAAGTTTGGGAAAAACTTTGTCACTAAGGGCTAGATCTGGGCTGAGTGGTGGGTGATTAATTTCCTCAAATTCGCAGTGTCGTACAGCACCCATGAAGATCCGCGCCGTGTAAACCGGTGCGTTGTCATGAATAAGCAGCGCTCCCTTGCTCAGCTTTTCTCTTCTCTTTACTTTTATCGCTTCTCTCAAACAACGTAAACTGGCCGAGTATTTGGATGCGTTGATGGTTTTACTTTTTTTTGTGTACTCGATCAATAGTATTCCTTTGGAATCCCAAAACACTGTAGCCATAATTTTACCGGCCGATAAAATAACTTTGATTTTCTTGTGGGGAAGGGGGTCTAATCCCTTTTTATTTTTTCGATAGACTCCTGTTTAGCCCAGTGGAGTTTTCGTTTCATCTCCTGTAACGATCCTATATCACCACACAGCTCTTAAAACTTCCTACAACATATAGTAAACCCGTGCCTGCTTTTGAATCGCAGTGAGCATTCGCGCGTCACCTATCTTGCTCTGACTTTTATGAGGTTGAGATAGTCATACAATATGGTGTGTATGGTACCAACTGATAGGATAATCAATTTTGCTAACATCTTAATTCTTACTCTTGCATCTTTTAATATAAGTTTTTCATTAAATTTCACATTTTCTTTTGTAGCCGCTGTGAGTGGCCTACTTGGGCGGGGTCATCTTCGATGCTTTCCCTGCCACTTTTGGATTCACTTGACCACTCCTGAATGGTTGAAGTTGAAGGAGCAGAGTCTTGGCAAACGGACACCATTTCTTTATGGATGTTTTTAGAGATTTTCCTTGTTTAGTGAGAAATTTAATCACCGGACGGTGTTCGATTTTTTTTCCAATATTCTTGAGTCAGTCATACCCGTCGTCTATGACTTAAGGGTACATAAGAAGTAATGAAGTTATCAAGACGAAATATTATATTTATACCCTCAGGTAGTGTCGTTAGCTAATGATTTTTTTAATTACCCACATTATTAGGAAATCACCCGAATCATCTCGAGAGTACATTAAACACCCCTCGTAAGTTAATTTGAGAATGGTTTAGATTCACAATTGAACTCAGTAGGTAGCACTGTTGTTGAGATCGAGAAACACCTGTGCGAAGCGGGGGCGGCTCACTAGTATTTTAAAATTATTTAATTTCTATTATTCCTATTCGAGATTTATTTAATTTCATAGACGGTGAATATCAATATGGAATTTGTAGAAGAAATCATCTATGGCATCTCCACATTATTATTATAAATTATGGACGTTACCGAGAAATTTAATCTCAGATTGAATGAGTTGCATATAGAAATGCAGCTACCGCAGACCGTAATAATTCAACGACATAGGTGGGTTCATTTCCATACACTATCCGGTCTATGAATACAATTTTTTTAGGTGGTTAATATACTGCTATTACACTATAGCACTATGTTTATATATTTTTTCTACTTTCTACTATCAATAAAAACAATTATAATAGTTTCTTTTTATTAAAGTGAGTGACGACCTAACAGTTTACCTGAAGGTAAGTGACTACTGCAACTCATAGAGACTTGTTATGTCTGCAATATAAATAGTACAGCTCCACCGGGAAAAGACAAAGCTCGCTCAGAGCACTAGAATGAAATAGCAGCATAAACTGCTATGTTTCGTATTCTGAGTGATAAGAACCGGAGACCCTGTTTACTAATAAATACGCCTTCCATCTAAGTCTTCAGATGTGAAGAGGCATCTATATTTTAATTTTCAATTGTACTAATTAATTTGAAGTGACAATGGGTCGAGCATAAAGCTCGACGAAAACACAACGAAGAAAGGTTTTTGAATGGCAGCTTTGTACCAGTAACCGAAGTGCTCGTATATTTGTGTCACTGCTACGCAGTAGCTAGAAATTATAATACATGTTTGCAGTCATAGAAAATCATGAAAAGATGACTATAACATAAATAGTTGAATATTGTGTTAATGTTAATAAAAAAGACTACAGCTTATACACGTCCCAGCGCTGGCCTCACAGGCCTTTTTAAATTTCTGAGAAGTTTATGAATCTACGAGTATTATCTTCCGCGCTTGTCCTGTGAGTGTTAGTAAATTTCATATGTCTCCGAAATATTTTTCTTGGTTCTTGAATGGCAGCTTTGTACCAGTAACCGAAGTGCTCGTATATTTGTGTCACTGCTACGCAGTAGCTAGAAATTATAATACATGTTTGCAGTCATAGAAAATCATGAAAAGATGACTATAACATAAATAGTTGAATATTGTGTTAATGTTAATAAAAAAGACTACAGCTTATACACGTCCCAGCGCTGGCCTCACAGGCCTTTTTAAATTTCTGAGAAGTTTATGAATCTACGAGTATTATCTTCCGCGCTTGTCCTGTGAGTGTTAGTAAATTTCATATGTCTCCGAAATATTTTTATTCCTGAGATAATCGGGTATCCTCACGACGTTTTCTTTTACGTCCGAGCAGATGGAAAATTAGCATTTATAATTGAATTAAATATTAATAATTTCATTAGAGCCGGCGGGGATCGAACTCTATTTGCTCAGGTATTACGTAATTTACTAAGCGCTTACTGAGCAATCACGTCATGATCTTCATGTACATAAAATAATATGAAAAAAAAAAATCAAATAAACAAATTCCCAACGTTTTATTAGCACGTCAGGGAATTTTGTAGGAATCCATTTATTTTCCGAACTCAAGAGATTTTTGTTAGATCACGTATTTTCCCTTTTTGCTTTTATTATAGACGTATCGTCTTCGTGAACAATTTGACTTTAAGTGTTTAGAAAGAAAAAGCAAAGCAAAGGTTTTGGGGTTGATAAGAAAATATCTTATCGTTTTCATTTTTTTACGTTTGACGTTTGTCCATGACCATTAGTGTGTTTACACTAATGGTCCTAAACTTTTACAAAAATAAAAAACTTCAAAATAAATAAACAAATAATAAATAACATAAAAATGGGCAAAAAAAATGGCAATATCCTTACTCTAAACACCTTCAGTTTTTATTACAAGTCATTACAGCTCTCAGCATGATTGACATCGAAATGACCGCAAGGGAACCAGAATACTCGCATAATCCAATGGATTAGCAAGCTGAAAATGCAAATTACCGACCATATAGCTCGAAAAACCAACAACCCTTGGAAAATATGTAACAGGTCATCACTATGCAGTGATGACCTGTTAATGTTGCTGCAATCTGTTAATACTACTTTATTCAATGCTATGTTTCTTTCAATGCTGTGTTCAATCATTTTATCATAGCACCCTGTCAAATGTCCATCACAGAGCATAAGCTTCTCCCACAGATTGTTCCAAAATAAGGATGTCTGCTACAGTGCCTGCCAAGCGTGGCAACTATGGCAAGTATCTTCTCTTCAATGAATGTGTGGAGGATCACACACCTTCCCTGTTGGACCCTCTGCTGATCTCTCATCCGTTTGGACATCAGGTTTTCGTAGATGCCCCTCTCGGCTCTTCGGACTATTGTCTGATCCGGAGTGTGGTGCCATTCACGCTCCCCTCGCGGTTGCGTTTTGAAGGCTGCCGCCGTCTTTGGCATTACAGGTCAGCGGATCAGGACGGAATGCAGTCTTTCTTTGCATCCTACTCTTG